TAGCTTTTGAATACTGATTAATATTTCATGTTTTTCCACACATGTAGTCTTCAGAGACGTGAAATTATAAATATCAAGTCTAAACATTGTAATAGTTTTTTTAAAACAAATTTTCAAAAATAAATCTCAATCATCCAGGTAAGTAGATCCCATTGGTTGATCAGTGGTTGTTGATAAATGGTCATGACAATTTGCATATTAATGATTAAGGAAGTGACCTCACAGCCCATTGTTCATTCAGTGGGCTAGTTTATAAGGCTGAGGAAACCTGCAGTCAGCTGAAACTGAAGAAGTCACTTGGATTAGTGATGAAACGTTTCTCCCACTGAAAACGCCAAGTCCAGATGAACAGAATCAACCTTTTGGAAATCTTTTTGCCACATTTTAAGTTTAATGTTAATGTTAATGTTCCTAAGATGGGTGAATTAATCCATATTTAAACTCTTTCAACAGGGATAAAATCAAGGATTTGGAGACAGAAAAGAGACACCTGGTTGGTGTCTTTGGTAAAACTGGGGCTGGAAAGAGCTCTTTAATCAATGCCGTCATAAATAAGGAGGGCCTGTTGCCTTCTGGAAGTGTCAGTGCATGTACCTCAGTAATGATAAAGGTGGAGGCTACCAATGGATCAAAGTATGAGGCACACATCGAGTTCATTACAAAAAAGGTAGAATGAAATATGAATATGGTTGAAGTAATGTGATGCCTGATCACCTCTGAAGTGTGAAATGATGGATTCTGGTACAATTCACCTTAACAATGGAATGAACTGAATCACAGCTCCATGTTGAGCTCTGACAGAGTTTAAATCTTTATACCAAATTACAGCAAAATGTTCCTCCAACTGTTTCTTTTTGCAAACACTTACTTTCTAGATTTTTTTTTTTAATTTGCCTTCCTAACCTTTCTGAGACATAGTGACATCAAACAAAAAATTACCCAATTACTTCTTAAAATGGTGCATTTTCTCAGCTTAGGAATTTGATATGTTTTTGTGTTCTGTTGTCAATAAAATATTAGAGTACGAGATTTCATGAATATTGTTTTTATTTTCATTTTACAGACTGTCCTAACTTTTTTGGAACTGGTTGGAACAATGTCCAACAAAAAAAAGGAAACCTTTATTACTCACTTTAGGAAAAGTTTGAGCTTGTCACGGCCATGTAGTCCTTCACTGACGTGTCTCATTATCTCTTTGACCTCAAACAGTATTTCTTTTTCTGTCAAAGTGAAAGTAAAAACTAATTAGTAGGAAACAGGAAGCAGTGTAATGCAAAATGTGGCCCACTGATATTCAAAAACAGTAAAGAGTGTGGATTTTACAAGTATTATATTAAAAAAATGCACATTAGTACTTTTCATATACCTGACTGTGATCCTGCTGCACAGTTGTATTGTCGTTTAGGAGGTGGTTGCCATTGGCTGGACTCACCCTGAAAATGATCTGAGTTTCTCTTTCCTTATTGGATAAAAAAAAAATCTTTCAAGATTGAAAATTGTGATCACGGTGTATTTTAGATGCTGCAAAAATGATAAAAATAAATACATCAGATGTATTAATATGAGAATGAGACAAATTTTTCTCACCTTTTTCACTTATGGATGGCAAATCCTGAGGATAAATGTCAATATTTGACTTTCGTATTTGAAATTAAATTACTACACATGTATGCATATTTGAACTTATACAAGAAACCATCGCAACTGTACAGAAACAGTTCTTTACCAAACTGCGATTAAAAAAAATGGAAAACTTTCATATTCTTACCTGTTAATAAACATGATTGCATGAGTCAACTTTTCAGCCTCATTCAGTGCCAGTGACACAGACCTTGAGAACAGTTGGTGACCACCCAATCAATGGCAACCACCAGCTGTTAGGCCAGGGGTAGGCAACTCCAGGCCTCGAGAGCCGGTGTCCTGCAGGTTTTAGTTGTCCTTGATCCAACACAGCTAATTTAAATGACTAAATTACACCCTTAACATTTCTTTTAGTTCTCCAGAGGCCTGGGAATGAAGTAATCATTTGATTCAAATGTGGTGACCCAGGGTGATATCTAAAACCTGCAGGACACCGGCTCTCCAGGTCTGGAGCTCCCCACCCCTGTGTTAGGGTAAAATGTGTATTAGGTATCAGGTAACTACATCAGTTGTTTAGTGGTTGGTGGTTGTAAGGATTTTAAGTCACAGACTGGTCTCTAGGCTTGTGTGACTGGGGCTTTACTTTGACTCAGGTCACTTTAGCGCAGTGGTTCCCAAACTTTTTTTGCTAGGCCCCCTTTGTTTTATTAGAAAAATGTTTGTGAATTAAAAATCAAGAATGTGGCATACTGTTTGTCCGTGATGTGAAGAGCCCAGCGCGTGCTCCCGACGCAGGGAAAACCAATTCTGCAGAGGAGACCTACCTTGGCACTTGTGCAGGTGAAGCCAAAGGGACGATATGCTTCACCATATTTTCTAGTCTTTGGCTTGAAAGGTTGGTTTGGAAACATATTTGGCGATGCTTCATCTCCTGCTTTGCATTTGTGTGGATGCCCCGTCAAAAACCTGTCCATTATGCGTTCTATTTTTTTTTCCTTTTCATACCGTAGTGTCAAGTGCGCCAATTAGTTGAATGATACACAGTGACTCCATCTGCTGCAAGATGATGTTGTAGGTCTTTGGTGCTGGTCTGACAAATGGTGGACTATGACTGTTCTCACCATTTGTCGCTTCTGTCTATCCAAGATTTTTCTTGGTCTGCCACTTAATTTGAACTGAGCCTGTGGTCTTCCATTTTCTCAATATGTTCCTAACTGTGGAAACAGACAGCTTAAATCTCTGAGACAGCTTTCTGTATCCTTCCCCTAAACCATGATGGTGAACAGTCTTTGTCTTCAGGTCATTTGAGAGTTGTTTTGAGACCCCCATGTTGCTACTCTTCAGAGAAAATTAAAAGAGGAGGGAAACTTACAATTGACCCCCTTAAATACTCTTTCTCATTATTGGATTCACCTGTGTATGTAGGTCAGGGGTCACTGAGCTTACCAAGCCAATTTGAGTTCCAATAATTAGTTCTAAAGGTTTTGGAATCAATAAAATGACAACAGTGCCCAAATTTATGCACCTGCCTGATTTTGTTTAAACAATTATTGCACACTTTCTGTAAATCCAATAAACTTCATTTCACTTCTCAAATATCACTGTGTGTATCTCCTATATGATATATTTAACTGACATTTTTTATTGTAACAACCAACGATTTATACAGGAAAATAATGACTATTAACAAGGTTGCCCAAAGTTTTGCATCCCACTGTATGAATGAAGGAAAGCATGCTGGTTCATTATCTGAATTTCAGTAATCCCTACCTGATTGAAATAAGCTGTTTCTTTATAGTTTTGTTTGCAGAGTAGGTAAAGCTAAGTGCAAAGCTATGTAAAATGTTTACTTAACAATGTAACTTGCAGTACAGATACTGAAGAGGAGTGTCATGAAACAGTTTTTTATACTTACTTGACCAGAAGTATTGACTGATTCCTTTGGTGGTTGAGTTGTATTTGGCTCTTCCTAACACAATAAAAATATTGCAAATCCAAATCAGCATAAAAGTTAAAGAATTTTTCTGAATAATGCTATCAATGTGTGGGAAGGTGTGGTTTTTGCGGTGTTGTGGTGTGTGCAGGGAGGGGGGCACAATAGGATATTCATGAATGTCCCCACACTAGTGATGTGATTTGGTATCCATCTGATACCTTGTAAACACAGGCCCAGTATCAAAGATTCTGATACCGATACTGATGCTTTTTAATAATTAAGGTGGATGAATCATCAAATTGCTAAGTCTGAATGAATTTTCATGACCTGTTAGTGTTTTGGAAGTTTTTTTTTCTTTGGATTATTAATTAAAACCAGGCAAGGACAGAAATAATAAAATGATAAGGCTGTAGCACATCTAGTTGTAGCTTAAATATAGTAACTTTACAGTATCCCTTTTACAGTTAACACAAATGGATAATTGTACTCAAACAAATCCGAGTCGAAATCGGGATATTTGCTTCAATTACAGTAAATGTTGCTATGACACTTGAAAGCATCAGCATTTACACAGACAGCCAGATTGCCTCTTTGATGAATTCGGGAGTAACAAAGAAACAGAAACTAGTATCCCAAAAAGTTGATTCTGTTCATCTGGACTGTTTTCAGTGGGAGGAATGTTTTGTCACTCATCCAAGTGACTTCTTCAGTCTCAGCTGACACAAGCACTCATATATATTGTATTGTATCTTTATTTATTTCAGACATAATAAAACAAACAACCAAAAAACAAAAAAAAACAAAACAATATATACTCGTCTACATGTACTTCCGTTTACGGATACGAATATATGTGTAGATACACACACACACACACGTATTTGTACAGACAAGCAAAAAAGAAATATAATAAAATAAAACACATTCGTCTAACATGAAATAACAATTGTTTGGTCTGAAAAGGAGTAGGAAGAAGTATACACATACTTATTAACTCCTACCCCTGCTCAACATCTTATTAATCCCACATATTTACCTAATTCTCCT